ACTAGAGTCCCATGAGTCGTCTGTTTTATAATGATTTTAATTCCTTTGACTGTCCTTAATGTAGTATTGAGGTTGCCTGGAAAAATCGTCTCGTAAGCGATAAGGTTAGCATTGCCTTCATTTTTATCTTTAATTTCTATATCTACCCTTATATAAAGCCATTGATGGTTGTAATAACTAACAAGATCTTAAAAGATCTTTATTACTGTGCTCTTTTTATCGCTTTGTCTACCTTTGAAAAATATATTATTCTTATTAATGACTCTTTGCGCTGACATATATATTTAATACCTTGTGTAATGGTTGCAGCCCAGCTGCTTACTAAGTATTATTGTTGTAAGAGAAAACATGGCGATTAAAAAGCGAGGCGGCGAGTTTATTGCCCTCATTTCTTCTTTCGTTTCTATATGTACCTTGGAATGGTTGATAATTGAGCCAGAAAATGCAAAATTAGAATCCTCCTAATATGTATTTCTTTAAAAACGAATTACAAGTGTACATTATTTGGAAAAATATGTTATTCTAATAAATGATTTTGTGAAATTGAATTTGAATATTAATTTGATAACGTAATAATATATTTTAATAATGTAATATTTTATCACTACAAATATTGTATGTAACTTCTATGATAAATTCCCTTTTAAGACAAATTTGTGCACCATTGTGTGTGGCAGTATATGCGAACTTCAGACTGTACCAACTAATTTTTTACGCCATATTCTTGCAAATAAATTACTATTATTAATAATGGAAACTAAAATTTTTAAACATACGTGTTATTTAAGTAATAATGTGCCTCTGTCCACCGAAGCGTAACTTATCTTGTAAGGTAATATACTGTACTTTACCCGCGTCACAGCTGACGGAGTTTTATTTGAAAAACTGCTTCACATGACGTCAGCTTCAGAAATTAAATTTAAAAATCGAACTCAACTTGTTTTGATTTTATTCCTCGGTTTTATAAGTAGTTGTTTTGTTGTTGACAAAAACATTTGTGAAAGTAAAACTGTTTTACTTAATATCTAGTTAATAAGTAAGTAAGTAGATAAGCATTATATATGTATATATAAAGATCGAATCGCAACAGTTCATTAACAAATGAAAAAAAGTTACGCTAAAAATAAATTTTTGCGAATAACTTTAATTAGTAACAAAATGTTAAATAACTTTCAGAAGAAATAATACAGTAGGTACGCAAGGAAACGTTGAATATACAAAGTTATAAATTACAAATCATAAAGATTAAAAGTCACAAAAACTTGAATAAAGTAAGGAAAAACATTGTTTTTGCGCCTTCAAAAGTTAAACCTCTGAAGCATAACAGTGTCTATTTCAAAGAAAATAGTTTCCTTGATTATAAGACCGACGTTTCTCATAATAAAAGTATTACGAATACAAGAATAATGAAAGGAATTTAAACAAATTCTCTTTTTGAATATTTTTGTATTTTACTTGTGCTATTGTTATTCTTGTATAATATATATTTTATGGTAAATTATGAATCAATTAAATACTGTTTTGTTTCTATTATAAATAAAGCTTAAACTTTGCCGAAATGGTCTCCATGGAATAAATATTTCATTTAACTTCCCACTCAAGAATTTTCCGCGTGGGTACAACCTTCGGAACTTATAAGATAGAACTTATTGCTCATTCATATTAACTAAATAATTTTATATATTATCAAAGTTGTTGAAATATAACTATGAAATAAAACTAAAACCAAAAGATCGGTTTAACATCCCTTATCAACAAAAAATCTCTCAGAAAAATTTCACAGCATCAGCAACGAAGAGCCCTTGAAATTAAATTAATTAATTATATTATTAATAATTAATAATTAATTAATTATATTATTAATAATTAATTAATTATATTATTAATAATTAATTAATTTACACATGCAGGACATAAGCTCAAGCCTCGAAATTTCAAAAACTGAACAGTTTTTACATATTTTTTTTAAATATAACGTACGTATTCATCACTGCATAGTATTCACTCACGATTATATCATAATGATAACTATATGCGAATTTAAGCTGCAATTAACATTCTAGAGATAGACATAATTAGTCTTTACATAAGTGGCTAACTTTCTCCGATTTGCTGAGAATAGAAAAATTTATGATAAAGCGTGGGAAAATCCCATATCACGAAGATAGGATTAGATTGACATATTTGCTTTGGTTTAGACATCTCTGTCAATGATAAAGTAAATAAAAATAATGGTAATATCAGCCTATGATAAAGGCCTAGTTTTCAAACATTTATATCTGTACTAGTTGGCTTAGTGATCAAATATCTTGTCCAGGAGGAAATTTATTGCTAAATATCCAGCTTAATTAGTTAAACATTAAAGTATGGACCAGTTTTAATTGACCCACTTATCTCATATTTTAAGATTCAGTGAAGTAAGCCTGAGTGTAGATTTAACTGATTATGTAATATTTATAAGGAAAGGAAAGTTATAAAAGTACCTTAAAGAACAAATATATATAGGTAGGTAGGTACCTCAGTCACTTTCGCTTTTATCAGCTATACAGTAGCTCTGCCTAAGTTTGACAAAGTACTACACTAGTGTCTGTGAAACAATATTTGTATGAACAACCCACCGCCTTCAACTATAATTCGATTTTAATTTATTTCATTTGTCAAACTCATTTAGGAGCTACAAAACCGCTAAATTTTTAAGCCTTGAGCCCAAATAATATATTCGGTAGTAATAAGACGTTTATATGTATTTTAAACAATTACATTTGATACTGATATCAAATAAGTTATCTTAAGGTTAAAACTGACGCAAAATCAGCATTTTGCAGCCATATGTGCAGAATTTTTGTAAGTATAATAATTTAGTAATTATCGATTTGGTTTATAAGACTAGAAGTTTCTAAAGGACACACAACCAACGGTTATTGTAAATTGTATAGACTATAGAGTATATATGAAGAACCTAAGCTACCTACACAACAAATCCTTCGGTGAGTCACAAATATTCAAACCCTTAGAACAACCTAAACCGAGAAAAACATTTAGAATCTAACGACACTTCGTTATCAATGTAATTAAAAATCAATTAATTTTCAAACCAATTAAAAGCGTGACAACACAATATCCGAAGGTTCCAAACACCAAATTACATTTGCACTATTAACCTTGGTCACAAAGCGTTTCGCCACTGTTCACTTCACTTAATCACTGATTACGTATTAGTTTTTTTACGCGACAAATAGGTAAACGCGTGCGGCCTCCGTGCACGGCCGTGAGCGACTGTTGACTTATGCGCGTACAGCGAAAAGCCGCTTACTAAAGTGCGGAACTCACGCGCAGAAAGATAATAAGTTATTATCCAGCGCTGTTTTGCTTTAGTATAGAAAGTGCTTTCTTCGACAGGTAGTTTCGTTTCGCTTGATTGATGGTGAAAACTGAAATTTCAGAACAGCATTCACACTATAAAATGACAATCTGTACGTTATTAACATTAAATTTCTCCAATTTATTTTTTTATTATATTATAAGGTAAATGTCAATATGTGTTTACAGCAAATTTATTTTAGCTCTCATTATACATATTTCTCTTTTAAACGCAAGGCTCTGTCATAGCAAACAACACCATAGATAATAATTCCTTTCAGTGCATAATTTCAAAGGCATTTATGTTTTTTTCAGACCAAATATCGATCAAACACATTATAGAATATATACAATTATGTTGCAAACATCTCGAAGGTCGGAGGAAAAATCAATCATCAGAACAATGACGGAAGTGCTTCAAAAGACAAACAATTTGTTCGTACTTGAGTGATTTAGATTCATTTGTAATATGTACTTTGCTCTCTTGTACCGGAATATCTAAATTAATGTTGATTGAGCCTCCAACAAATTAATAATAAAATATTAAATATAAATACTTGGCTTGATACTTCGCAATTTCAAATTGTGTTCTTATTTTAAACCGTTCAATATATTCTCTATTCAAAAGGGAGAACGCCAGATTTTGAAAAGCGGAAACAACTTTTCGCCATATGGTCTTTCCTGTAATCCGCGAAACCTTACTGCTCGCTAACCAACTGTTCGTGCTTTGCGTCACTTGACAAATACAAAAACACCTGTTGCTACAATACATCAAGGCAAGTATGAAGGTCAATGGCCAATGTCATCTTTTTCCTAATTTTCTAACAACTTATAAATCCATAAAGAATTAATTCTGTGACTAGGAATATTCTTTTAGTATCTATAAGAAAACCTATACTATATTCGTACATAATAATAGTCTATAATTCAGAAACTTAAAAAGCCAAGTTTAGAGTAAGTTAAGTAGGTATATACAAAAAAAATACTTTTAATTATTTCGCTTTAGCCAGTCGACAATCGACATTATAAAAGTAGTAAAAATAAATATAATAATCTATTATATAATCACTCATAATAATGATAATTAATTATCATTCATCGACATTAAGCACATTATCAAATATTTTTTTATCTTTTGGTTTTAATCATTAATCAATCATTACTCCGCGAAAATCGGAATTCATGAATATGTAATGAATTATTAAGTGGATCTTAAGAATCTCATAAATTAATGAACTTTATAATGTAATTTTAACATTAAAAGGTTTTAGATTTATTCATTTCTTTAAGCATATCTGATGCAATAAATACAAAAACATACGTAGTAAGAGTACTGAATTCAAAGGAAGGCAACGCCCTCGCGACTTTTCGCATTGAGTGAGTGTTCTTTTTTAATACATATGAGAATTTATTCTACAGCTATAATATAAAGTAATTGTATTTGAAATAAAGGAAAACCTAGAAAAGAAGACGTAAGTATTCAACTTAATTTAACATTCATAACATATAACAAATCAAATTTTAAGGATAAAAGCGAGCATAATTGAAATATAGCATTTTATATATAAAACGTTTTTGTATTTCATATACACTTTCGTAAACACTTTACGATATTCCCAATAGCAGTATAGATCAAGTGAATGCACAAGGTCGTTGTAACCGGTCCGCCGGCGCAGCCTCCGCAACTCCCTTTCAGGCTGTATTGGTCAACGATATGCGAATTGAATTATAAGCGTGGGGAAACACTGGGCCTTCAACTTGCCCAACCTGATGTCATCAACAAGTATGTCGTAAATGTCGTGTAAGATCATTACATTTTGGCATGTTAGGAAACTGACTTTTAATTTTGTTGGAGGCTGACTCTTTCATACGTTTCGCCGTATTTCGTAGTAGCGTAATATTATAGATCCCATATACAAATTGACTAACTAAAACGTTACGAAACAAACTTCAGTTTATTAATCAAATCAAATCAACATTCATTTACATACGCATATATAATTAACTATGTAGACCGTACGTTATGAAAAAAAAAAGATTTTAATATACATTTACTACCAGTACATGTAACAATAATAGTTGTTGTATAGATTATTTAATGTTGTAAGTATACATAACTATACGTCTTAAAAACATTAAACAATTCGATAAAAATACAATTTTTACACTCAAACTAAACTCTTGTAAATCAAGGATTCTTTCAATTCTAAACAACGGAAGTAATTACCTACAATTTAACGCTTCATTGATCTCAATTGAACGAGAAAATACATGTTTTTCCTTTTTCCAGTTTAAAGCTTTCACGCAAGCATTTAAACCAAGAATGTTTGTAAGAAATTGAAACGACAACCGCTGAATATATGAGGTTCCTTTTTTTTATTCAATTAATGTTTAAATTAAATTTGACTAAATAATTTGGGAATTCAATAAAATACTCCCGATTCCATATAGTACACGAATCTTAAGTTCAGCTTATCGTAAATTTTTATTCGCATTAACGTACCTATATTATTTTTACAGTCCATACATACCGTAGTGAAATTTGCCTGTTATGTCTCGTTCATATTTACCTGAAAGCAAATATAAAATAATTATAATAATCTACATGAACTAATTAACACAATTAAAGAATCCGTGACTAGGTTCATGATACATCATTTAACACAAACAATTATTTTAATAGAAATTAAATCTAGAACTTATTTCATACACAAGCCGGAGTAGGAATATGACAAATTTGGATGTGGCCTGTGAGGGTTTGGGCGGGGGTAGGTTGAGCCCAATATAATGATGTTGAACCCGGGCGCTTTGTCTAAATTACATCGAACATGTGCTCGATGATCATGTTTGGCCGAAGCCATCACGCGCTTCGACAAGAAATCCGTGTCGGAGTGGCCTTTGCCCAAATCCAATTGGTATTTGACTTTGACAGGCTGATCCGGAAGTGTTGGTTTCTCCAAAAAAAATGCAGCAGCTCACTGAAGCGTGGATTGAAGAATGGGGAATTCACAAGAAGATATTCAAGATCATACGAAGCATGCCGTGTCGTTGTCAAGCGTTTAGGGGCTCAAGGAGGCCACACACGTACTGAGTCCTAAAGACGAAACACGGTTTAAAAATATCTTATGTACCCTTTTTAACACCAATTAGGTTTTCGTCTACAATGTACATTTTATGTCGTTTTCTAGTAAGAAATGCAAATTGTTTTTTTATTAATTTGTAAACCAAAGAAAGCCACAGAATTTAAATATTTAGTTTAAGCAATAGGCAAAAATCAGTCCGCAAGTTTTAGCAGTATATTTATCCTAGATATCAAACCGAGTGAGGTTTCATTAAATAAACATTATGTAATTGTACAAAGCAATAGTTTACTCCTATTACTAAATTCTTCACCGTTAGAACATTAATCAATTAGACACGAAGAGAAGGAATAAATCTTTTTTACAAGCTATTAATTATACGGAGGGACATGTCTTTATACGATAATATCGAAAGATAGACCACTGAAACATAATACCAATAATCTCAGGAAAAAAAGTATATATATAATGGTATCAATCGCTTATACGAGTACTGGGAATAAATAAGGCGCAACTGCGTTTCTCTGTGAATACAAAAGAAACAACATTTAAAGCCTATATTCTAGGTTTTATAAAATAAAATAATATAATAAAAAAATTAACACATCTTACATCTATTATGTCAATTTACAAATTAAACATCGTCGATCAGACGGCAAAGAAGAAAAATAAAATATAAAAAGAGTTTGTATAGGAAAATATATTATGTTTTCCTTACATTTATATTCTAAGTTGATTTTCTAAATACTCTTAGTTCTTCATTATAGGGTCATTAATAAATCCCTACATACATGAGCTGAAATAAGCATTATTTCATACCTCATAGATATTTTTACAAGTATTCAGAGCGCTGAAACTTTGGAAACAAGAAACGATAACTTAATAAGCTGTTGTAAACGTTCTTATATTGTTTCGTTGTTTGAAATAAGATTAGAATAAGGCGTTTTAGGAATACCCTTACCGTTTTACATTGTTTCTGTTTTTACTTTTATTTTGTTCTAAAGAAACAGTTACAAAAACTGTGTTATAAGCGCTTGTCAATAATTTAGATGAAATAAAACAGGCAAAACCTTTGTTTTAGCGAAGGTTTTATTAATAATTTACCGAATTTTAAATCTTATACAAGGCGTAGGTATTATAGATGATTGAAATATTTATTCCAACGTGCTACTCTCATCACTGAGGTCGTAGGATCGATCCCCGGATGTAGGCCAACGGACTTGTTGACAATTTAACACACGGTGAAGAAAAGTATCGTCAGAAAACCTTGCCTTAGACCCTAAAAGTCAAAGGTCAGTCATATAAGGTTGATCACTACTTGCCTTTTAGAAATCACGGAACATACATAAAAATCTTAGGTCCAGACCTAAATGGTTGTAGCACCATTGGTATGTAAGTATGCCACCTCGAACCCCTGTTCCGCCGAGCCACCAAATTTAATTATTATTATTAGACTTATTTTTATATTTAAATTATACTTAGTATAAAGTACTTTCATTCTAGACACCAAAATGTGTTGATTTCTTTCCACAAGTAGGTTAGTAGGAAACGCATAGGCCGGCGCCATCGCTGTCGGCCATGTCACAAGTTCGCAAGTATGTAATACATGGTTATATGTATACATACATTCGTAATGTAATAAAACTGTTCCTATTTTTTATGCCAAAAAAAGCACACTCAACAAAAACCATTGTTTTTATGACTTAACTTCTTTATCTGTCGTAACGTTATGTGATAAATTTTTGTTATTAAAGAAGTTTCATTTAAATTTTCCATGAGTCAACAAAAAAAACACCTATATACCATAAACTATACCAGCAAATACCACCAATAATAAAATTTAAATCACACGTAACATTATCAAATTGTATTTACAAGTCAACAACAGTTATCGTAACCAGGTGACCATTTCACAACTTTCGATAATCTATCTCATTTTCGCTTATAGAATATGAAAGAGATAGATCGAAAGCTCGATGCAACGTGGACGTGGTCGGAATGAATGCAGAATGTTGCATAAAATTGGTGCAATACATTGTATATTGATGTTGTTTCTTAATGTTAATTAGGTCAATACGTGATATTTAATACAAAATGTAATAAGCGTATTAGATACCGTCTCTGAAGCTTAGTGGCTATATAACATTGGAAATTCTGGAAAATTAATGCTTAGGGTCTTTCTTTAATTAAATAACGCAAATAAAAATTAAAAAGCGTACTTAAAAATGTTAAACTAAAAAAAACACCGTTTCATAGTAATTTTCACAGAGATTTCTTTTTATTTTGTAACAACAATTAAAAATAAATATAAAATAAAGTGCAAAATAGCAGCATAGTATTGATTACAAAGGAAAATATACACACCGTTATCAAAATATCACGTAAGTCACATATTTCTGTCCTTAACACATTTTCCTTACCACAACAAATGAGAAAGTATGCCGCATTGTATAAATTATTTACCTAAAACTTGGCAAGATTTGGAAGAGACATCGGCGCGTGCGCGGTCATGTTCCCCAAATAATAATTGAACACCCACTATGGGACAAGCGTCATATTTATCGACGAATTCTCACCAACTGGAAAACAAATCTGTTTGTTTACCTAAGTCTATACATAATAATCGAAGCTTTTCGACAGTAATTATAATAATTAATATACAATTCAAGATAACTCAACTCAAATCATATTTAAGAATAAATTAATAATATTAACAATAAATTACTAATCTATTACTTCCAGGCTACCTGATGTGTTTCCTTAATATTTTCACGGTATGAAATCTGCTCTACAACCTATTCTCATGCCTGTTGGGTACCAACACACTCAGGTATGTACAGCAAGAAAATAGAACATTAAAATAGGTTAATTCAATTGTATATTACTTATGAATTTTCAAAGATATAAAAGGGTAAAGAACTCTGTTGTTAGTTAAAACAATTTCATAAGACATTAAATTACATAATCTGGTTGTGCAGTGGAGGCCACTGCTTAACCGGGTTAACCAAGTTCAATACAAGGCTGATTGCACTTTATTTGGAGCTATATCGAATGGAGTATGCAAAATTATGGTGCAACTCTGTCTTATTAATTACTACAAGTTGCATTCGTGGAACACTTAATATTATTAACATCAAATATTTGGGATATTGGCTGGTCACTTTTCTTTATACGAGTATAAAGATACCTTTTATACTGAAGTAAGAATTTTTGAAAACTACATTTTTAGTCCCATAAATAAGCCTTACCTTTGTAAAATTTTTATTGTTCATTTAAATTTAAAAAAAAATAGTCGTAAAAATGGTTACCCAGTTTTTTTATTTTTAATCATAATGAGGCGTGGACTAATTATAGTATTTAGTATAGTTACAATATTTTTCCATAAAAATAGTAACCATGGTAACGGATTTCATTCATTATGAGGTAAAAGATATTTAAGCTACTTTTTGTGATGACTGTTGCAACGGACTCGAGAGCCCTCTGGCATTCGAAGTGTCTATGGGTGATGATATCACTTAAGATCAGACGAGTCTCCTGCCCGTTTGCGCCCTATTATATAATATTATAAAAAGGACTAAATAAAAATAAAAGAAAAGGTCTCTGGACTCTGCGTTGGTCTCTCCAATCTCAATGAGAAAGACAGAAATTTATTAAAAATCACATAAAATTAGTTAAATATTTCAATGTTTCAACGAATATTACCATACCTTAAACGATTGAACTGGCAACCACATTCTCTCACACCACAAACGTACATCTCCAACAAAATTAACTTTAAAAAAAGGGGAACACAAGTTTCACAAAAGCACTTCTACTCACACAAAATATTATGAAAGACGAAAATAAAGATCATTAAAACTGGGAAATTAGTTAATCTTTAGTGTAAACCATAAAATATCTATAAATGTCATTTACGTATTTAACGTTGTAACTGAGAACATAAAAGGGCGGAAACAGATCAAGTGTTTTAGATGAAATGGGCGGATCCCGGATGATTCAACGCAATAACGTAGGCAACTATTTGTAGCTTTAGCTATCTATCTATAAAATTAACGTTACTGCTATTTAAGAGAATGCATTGTCTCGTTGATATTTTAATGTATCGAAGGATTTAAATCATTTTTGTAGGAAATTCTGTTCGAAGGTGCTAAGATTTTATGTTCAATATGATCTTAAAAACTCATGTTATACAAAAAAAATACTAATTGTAAAATAAAGTGAATTTGTTCTGAATAGGGTTAATAATTTTTTAAGTACTCGAACACGTTATCCTAATGAAATTGTTTTTAAAAGAAATTAGTTCTATACGCTCAAACAACTATACGGATTATTATGATGGTCCTTCGAAACAGAATATACAATATTTATTATTCAAAGGAAGCTACGAGAAATAAAGAACAACACGAAAACCGCAATAAATAAAAACTAGATTAAGCAGACAATAATCTCTTAGCGCAGTTTTTCTTGAAATTAACTTCATTAACATTCTTTGATAGCGAAGACTTTGATGTACTTAAGTGTTCAATTTTGATCCTTTTAACGATAATTAGTATTATTAAACACGACGCCTCTTTTTGTTCGTATATTTCTTTGTTTTGTCATCGTGTTTCAGGACTTTCCTAGTCCTCTAGTTAATTAAGTTTTTAATAACTCAAATCTTGGCTCGACGTTTCAGCTTTCTGTGATGGTCTCGCTTGTTTGTCATAAAATAACTGGCCATAAATCAGAACTAATAATATCTTACGAGTGTTTTAATAACGACTATAACGACTTAATGAATGTAATAATATATAGCTAATTAAAATAATAATTTAAGTTTAATAACGTAAACAGTTTATGCGTACTAATTACTTATTTGTGACAGATTAAAATATTATAAATTATCTTTATAGTAAAGTACTATAAAATCTCTTGAATAATATCGCTTACAAGCGGTACTTTTTAAATAATATTCAATCAAAACTATTAATAACTATAGAAAACCGTCTATTTGCTTTTGATTGACGAAACTATTAATT